TATTTTAGAATTTGATGGTCTTGTGTCTCGAATTGCAAATCAAACAAAGAAAAATCTAGATGGGCTACGATTAGATACGACATCGTGGAAAGAGCAGTTCAATGAAGCAATGAACGTAAATGGCGGGGACATAGAGAACGCCACACTCATTGATTACGTTTTACATTTCATCTCATTTTTCTGGAAGGTAATTCAAAATGTGATGTAAACACATTTTCTCTCATTATTAAAAGATTTAAATACTGAAGCATATGATAATCATTAAACGAAAGACTTATCTTGCACTATTTCTTTGTATTTTCTAGGTGTTGTTTGCCTTTATTCCTCCGCCGTCCATTGCGGGTGGTTATCTCACCTTCGTCGGGTCCCTTGTGTTGATTGGTCTCATGACAGCTTTAATATCCGACCTAGCAAGCATATTCGGATGTTTGATTGGGTTAGAAAAGACTGTAGTAGCTATTACATTTGTTGCACTGGGCACCAGTATGCCTGATACATTTGCCAGCAAGACGGCGGCAATCAACGAAAAATATGCCGACAGTTCCATAGGCAACATCAACGGAAGTAACGCCGTGAACGTCTTCCTCGGCCTGGGGCTTCCGTGGCTGATTGCCTCTATATATTGGGAAGTCAAGGTTTGTGAATTTCCTCTGGTGTTACCCCATTTTTTGGAAATACCAAAGAGCTATATAACTTCAGCTTAAAGATTGTGACATATCCGTACTTTGTTCCTTTACCCAGACAATATGAATATGCCAAGTTAAACGAAACAATCTTTGGGAGCCAAAATTATTGGCGTATACTCTAAAACCAAAGGGGGCATTTTTGTGTTTGTGCATGTGATTCGGGGAGGGGGTGTTCTATATCAAAATTGTTTTTAGTCGACATCCTGATTCCCAATATAAATCACTACGTTTTATTCACATTGGGCAGATCATTCTTTGAAACGGCAGGGACACCCAGAAATTAATAATGAAGCTGAAGTAACCGCTACCTAATGTGTGGCCGTTCAATTTACTCGAGTGCGCAACATTTTACTTATGAGGACTTTGGAATCAGGATGACATAAACAACCCACTAAAAGTTGTAGAGAATTTCCGATTTGATTTATTTTTTCGCTTAAACTAAAAGAAATTGAATTAAAACGATATTCATAAAAAGTGTTATGAAAATATTCTGTTCTTCCTATTTAATGGTCCGAAAAGTGCTTCCTCTGTGCAATCAATATCTTCCAGGGCTTTAAACTTTCAAGGACTTCATTTGCAAGCACGTACTCTTAACAATCATATCACAATATTGATAAAAAAAATTAAACCAATTGATCTTTTGTAATCACTTAGTATGACGTTATGCACTTTTTTCTTTTACAGGGAGAAAGTTTTACAGTACCTGCCGATACCTTGGTATTTAGTGTGATCTTGTACTCTTCCTGTGCTATTTTAGCCATTTTGGTTTTGCTGGTTCGGCGGAAGGTTGCAGCCTTTGGAAACGGTGAACTAGGCGGACCAAAGGGTTTGAAGATTGCGTCTGGACTATTTCTAGTGACTTTGTGGTTCTTTTATGTTATAATGTCATCGCTACAAGCATATAAAGTTATAGACATTAACATATAACAATGGTTGTGTCGCCATCTTAAGGCTGTGATTCATTTTTCGTCTAAGTCTGTGATAAGTTGTTGTTTTTGTTGGCTCTTGCTATTCATGTTATTTTTTCTTCATATAAATAACAATATGGGACTTTCTGCTTTTCTATACTTTGTGTCTTCGAGGGCATTTTTGTGTTCAACTATTGAACGATTTAGACCTAGGATGAATTCCCTGGTATTGATAAAGTGAATTTTAATCAATTTCGAAATATAAACCAAATTTAATCATTTTACAGACAGTGATATCCATATTTGATATTCTTAAGTACAGTCAATATACAGGTTAGAATTACAATCACGATTATCGATCATTAGAGGAATGAGCAATGCTATGATGGGATGTCCGTTTTTGTTAAAATATTTGCATACACTTACCATGAAAGCGATGTACCATATGCTTTTGATGATAGAAATTGATTATTTTTTCAGCTTAAGACAATACACCGTACGTCAGAGTTTTACGTTAAGGGTCTATCATCTTATTTGGATTGAAGGTTCAATTTCAATTCATAAACGGGTTCTTTAAGTGCAAGTTCAATGTTCTGTAGCTCGATCCTATGAAAACTCTCGGAAGAAGGTCCAGAGAATGATGGGGACCAGAAAATATGCAAAACTAGTTTTTAAAAATTACCGGGTAATTTCATGGAATGATCAAGGACAGTTAAATCATCGCTGATTTTAGATATCGATGATATTTTATGCGTATTCATTAAGTAGCATTGCCAATGACTCTCTTGTAGTCGGCTTCATAGCTATTTCAAGCTTTTTGCCCTTAATCCAGCTTCTATTTGGGAAGAAAAAAAGCTTTAGCAGAGATTTTTAGCCTTTCCAGCTGATTTCAGTGTTTTGGGGACTAGGACAACACACAGGAGACCCATCAAGAGCTAGAGAAGTATCATCAGTTATGTTTCAATTATCATAAACACCAATACCTTTTATATCACGAGTTGGTTTATAAGAATGCCAAGAATTTCTGCACAAAGAGGAAAAATCCATGTATATAAAAACTAAGGATCTCCTTAACAACATCCATCGTGGACATGAATTCGTTCTTTTTAGAAAATTACTAAAACTTTGTAAATAAAGAAATAAAAACATCAGAAAATAGAATCAGTTTTGAAGATAAAATTCAACAAGGACTAACAATCGAAACTTTTTTGTGGGACATTAAATCATGAAATAAATCAGCTCACCGTCTTGACAACATGGAATCAGGAATGATAACTGAAAACCATCAATTTAAAACGAAGCTTAAAATTGATATTTCACCCAACAACTTTCTTTTCATACATCTTGATCTGATATATTATAGAAGTCTTAAAAGGAACAGTAACAAAATTAACATTTTTTTCCTGTTAAAGTACAAATTTTTCCTAAAATATAGATTTTTCTTCAATTTAGCCATAGACACCAATGCTTGTTAGCATGTTATGAAAATAAGAAGTGATCCGTGATGTCTTGCAATGATAGCATAAACTTTTAACATTATGTGTTACATGTATAACAAGAAAACATTGATGTAACCATCAATTATCGCCCGGGAAATAAATTCAGTAAACAATGGAAATGAGTCTTGATCATTAAACCGCTTCAATATGTGTGGAAAAGACATGCGTCTAAATGATGGAGACGATAGTCGAGAAGATACAGAAATTTATAGTCGGATGAAAATTGATCAAAAATGGTACCCTTTTAAAATTTATCAGTTCCTCAAGTACATGTAAATGTTGGTTGCATAAAATATAAATTAAAATCAGATACATGTGCATCACTGCGATAAGTAAAATTCGATGTTCTAAAAAAGGGACCTGTCGTTTTTTCGATAGTAAATGATAAGCAAGTTATGGCACGCGAAATTCACAAAAATAAGATAAACCTAGTTTCACAATTGATAAACTAGGTTTATCGACTGTAAACTATAGTTTACAAACCGTAAACTATAGTTAACGATTCGTTAAGTATAGTTAACGATTCGTTAAGTATAGTTTTCATCTGTAAAACTATATTTAACGGTCGTTAACTATAGTTTACGAATGCTAATCTAAGTTTATCTGTCTGAATAAAGCGTTAACAATAGATTTTGTTGATAAACATAGATTCACGTTTGTAAACTATAGTTTACAATCGTAAACTATAGTTAAGAGTTGTTAATCATAGTTTCACAAATCGTGAAACTATATGTATCAGATCGTTAACTATAGTTAACGGTTTGTAAACTATAGTTTACAAATCGTGAAACTGTATTTATCAGATAATCTATGTTTTGCAATCGTAAATGATTGTTTTCGGTGTTAAGTATAGTTTACGGTTGTGAAACATAGATTATCGCGTTAACTATGGTTTACAGATGTGAAATATAGATTAACGTTGTTAACTATAGTTTACGATTTGTAAACTATAGTTTACAACCGATAAACCTAGTTTATCGATTGTGAAACTATGATTATCTCATTTTTGTGAATTTGGCGTGCCATAGCAAGTTTATAAATTAAATATGAAAAACATATATATTTTTAAAGATTCACTTTATGGAAGTAAAGATATTGCGTATCTCGTAATTTATAAAGGGAAAGAACATCTTTTTTAATGTTTAGATAACCTTAAATTCTGAATAACTTCTCCCACCTCAATCTCCATACACCAACACTTAAACTTATATGTATAGAGCAGCCCAGTCCTCCGTGCTGCAATAAAAATTGAGGTAAGTAGTACAAAAATACCTCGAATATACATGTAATTTTCTATGAATACCTGGATACTAAGATTTTCCTTTTATCCTAATTGAAATTCCATCTTCAATTATACAACGTGTACTTCTGGTGGCGTTTCTTTCATACATCGTTCAGATTTGATTATATAAAAATATAACACACTGACTTTGAAGAAATATTCAACTTTTTAAAAGAAATATCAAACTGAATGTGAATTTTACGACAATTTTGCGCCGAAACATTTAAATTACTTGACTGTAATTTTATGAATCTCAGCATTGGACTACCTTAAATTTCCGAAGATCATGACCTCTTTCAAACGAGTTACACTTTAATATGCTTATTTACACTAGAAGAACTTAACGTAAATATGAATGAGCTTAATTTGCACGGAATATTTAATCATTATTACTAGTATGTCGATAGAATTTTATGCCATGTCAAGAAAGACTACTCGTGGATTGAAATAATTTTTCCCTGGATATACACTTGACGTAAAAGAAATATTAAAGAATCAAGTGTCTGTGATCCACAGACACTTGATTCTTTAATATTTATTTAAAAACAAAGTATTACATGTAAATCAGAATCAAGGGCATGTGACTTGGATCAACCATTATGACGTAACACAATATGACGTCATTTCTGCTATGCTAGCAGACTAAACACCGAATCTATGATGAAATGCATTTCTTAATAATTCTGGGTATTTTATCAAATACGCATGCATTCAAAGAGAAGCATTTTACAGAACCAGGTTTGGAAGAGTTAGTGCGTCAAATTAATGGACTTAATGGGCTTGAAGGAGAACCAAGATATTCTAGGGTTCAGAGAAATGTAGTTGTATACCGCAAGAAAACTCGGCAAGAGATGATTGAGGACGAATTCAAAGAGTATGAAAAATGTCTAAAGAAGAGAGAGGCAGAAAGACTCGAAGGAAAGAACACGATTCGGGGGTTGTTGGTATTGGAGGGCCAAAGTGTGAGACTCAGCTGCAATCTGTGCCCACGACCTGACCAGGACTTCGCCAAACTGCAGATAATAGACTGGCAACAACTACGACGCCAGGACTCAGATTTCGTATTCGTTGATCACGAAAATGAACGAGTTAAAATTGACAAGAGTACTCGTGATCTTATCTTTGATGCAGTGGATGTTTTGGATGCAGGTCAATATTTTTGCATAAACACCTTCTACAGAGAATATGAGGAAATCTATCAACTTGATGTGTTATTCAGGGAAAGGCTTAAGACGACGAAATACGAAGACATTGCACAGGGAAAAGACAAGTTTCTTGGAGAATACTGGCTGAAGGATCGCAACATCAAAACGTTCACAGCCTGGTCAGATTGGACTGACTGCCAAGACTGCAATAAGAAAAGTGTTAAACGGAGGGTGGGTATATGCATGGTCAACAAAATTGATAAGACTCTTCCTGTTTTGCCTTATGACCTTCCAGTCCTCGACCTTTACCCCAATGGCGTGCCTTGTCGGTCAACCGTGCTGCCTAAAGATCTGGCTTCAGTTAAACGCATCAAAATGAGGCGTAGCGAGGTGTGTTTGGCAGACTGTTTCAAAAATTGCCCAACTACGCCGGGTTACACTCTCATCAAAGACGAGAATGGTACAGTGATTGAAACAGTAGAGGCTGGATTTTACTCACTCAAGTAAGCCATAAAAAACTTTGTTTCTAAACTAATTTATGATAATGGCCTCGGCCAAATACAAATTGTTTTGTCTGATATACGCATCACGTGCGGCGTTTTACTCCCGAATTCAAATAATAATGTTATTTATGAAATATGTTATTTACAGGATTTTTGCATCCCTGATATGAACACGCATTGTATTACACACCCTGTATCACCAGTCACTATTTTTTATTTTACCTAATAAGCAAAAAGTCTTATTTCACTTGAGCAGCTGGCTAGGTTAACGCAAAAATCAATTCAGTATTGAAAAGTTTAAATATAAAATTGGGTTCAGGGGAGGAGGGATTCCCTTGTTATGATCCACTCTAATGGCCCCACTATTCTCCAAACTGGTCATGATTTGAACAAGTTTAAATTTACATTACTTTTCTTGATGTTTGTTGATGATCAATCATAACTTTTTTGTTCTTGTGAAGAATTTAACTTTTTTTCTCCATGTATTCCTACATAAGACCTTGTTCACCCATTCTGGCCCCATTCTACCCCAATGGTCATGATTTGAACGAAATGGAATCTACACCACCTTTTTTAATGCTTTCAAATAACTATGACCAGTCATGGTTTTGCTGTTCTTGAGAAGAAGAATTTTTAAAGATTTTTTCTATGCAAATTCTGCATTGAGCACACATTATAGCCCACCTTTGCCCCGGGAGTCATGTTTTGAACAAACGTACATCTACACTACCAGAGGATGCTTCTGTATAACTATGACCAATCATCGTTTTGCTCTTCTTGAGAAGATTTTTCCTATATATTCCTATGCCAAATGATCCCTTAATGCGCCCCCAGCCTACCCCCGTGGGCCATGATTTGAATAAACACGAGTGTACACTACCAGAGGATGCTTCCATATCACTATGACCAATCATGGGTTTGCTGTTCTTGAGAAAAAAGATTTTCAAAGATTTTTCCTATGAATTCCTATGCTAAATTTTGATTCCCCATTGTGGCCCCACCCTATCCAAGGGGGACATGATTTGAACAAATTTGAATCGTCACAAACAGATGACCCTTCCTCATTAGCTTCATCTTTCCTGGTCCAGGGCAGTGGTTCTTGAAAAGAAGTTTTTAAAAAAGATTTTCCCTATGTATTCCTATGTTAATCTTTGATACCCCATTGCGGCCCCACCCTAGTGACCCTACCCCCGGGGCTCATGATTTTAACATATTTGAATCTATACTACATGAGGATGCATTCATGTGAGTTTCATCTTTCCTAGCCCTGTGGTTCTTGAGATGATTTTTAAAGATCTTCCCTATGTATTTCTATGTTAAAATTTGATACCATATTGTAGCCCTACCCCCGGGGATTTGAACAAATTTGAATTAATCTACAGTAGTACACGAGGATGCTTCCACATGAGTTTCGTCTTTCCTGGCCCAGTGGTTCTTGAGAAGAAGATTTTTAAAAGATTTTTTTTTTTTTTTTTACAATTTTTCATTAATTCATAATTATCCCCCCCCGTAGGAAAAGGAAGAGGGCGTGGCCCTTCATTTGTACAAACTTGAATCCCCTTCTCCTTAAGACACTTTGTGGCAAGTTTGTTTGAAACTGGCCCAAAATTTCTTGAGAAGAAACTTTACAAGAACGATGACGACAACGACAACAACAACTACGACAACGATAGACAAAGGACAAATTTTGAAAAGAAAAACTCACTTGAGCCTTCAGCTCAGGTTAGCTAGCATATTTAGGTTTAATCCGTTAATTTATGGAATCAGTCACCTCGGGGATTATAGAAAACAGCCAGTTGGTTTCAATATTTCTTGAATGGACAGTATCAGCAAAGTAATTGTACATGTATTTGTAACTCTGGTTGAGTTAGAGCTAATGTGGATGAAGAGGGGAAAAAAAGCCAAGAAATGCTATAAAATAAAACAGCCTGATAGGTGTAGGTCAGTTTACTCAAACCTTTTTAAAAGTGTTGTTAAAGACGGAATCGCTTAAAGCTTTTTGACCGAGTTCTACTTGTTTCAGCAACTATTCCTTACGTTTTTATATTTGTTTTTGGTATTTCAGAAAGCCACCCACACTTCCACCTATGGTCGTGCGAAAAGTGCTTTTCGAACCTGTAAACAAACACCTTATTCTAAAATGCCCAAAAAGTCAGCATTCTAAGGCTCTGATACGATGGCAAAATAACTCAATGGTGTTAAATCCCCTGACAATTAAACGACAAACCAGAGGACGAGTGTTCATTGATACTGTAAACAGACTGCACATCCGGCGCCTGCGCTTGACTGACACCGCGCCATACAACTGCTGGAGCTCAACTCTTCATTTGGCGACCATTAAAGTGATCGTCCATGAGGCTTACAACGACATAAAAATTAAGGAAGTCATTACTCTTGGCGGGCTTGGTCTGACTATTTTTTCTATTTCATGTATTTTGATTTGTACTATATGTAAAGGAAGGAAGAAGAAGAAAAAGAAAAAGAGCAAAAAATGATTTCTAAAAAAAAATCTGTCGTTTGGCATGATATACTTGTAAATTTATTCTTGAATTAACTTGAACAGTTGAAAGTGGGTTTATATGCACAATGCTTGTATTTGACCGATGTTATTTCACCACTACTTCCTTTTACTTTTTTAATGCCAGTTTAACTGTCTTTTGTGTAAAGTATGTTGCTAAGCATATGTACTATTTCAACTATTGCTTATATTGCTTTAGTTTGATTATATGTAAAACTCCAATAAAAATGTGACTTGGTGAACGAACAAGAAAATTTTAACGTTCTCATTATTCGTTTACGTTACTTTTTTTGTTTTTAGTTTTAATATTCAAGCACCAGATAGCCTTATACAGAACCACCATATGCTTGAAGAAACGAAAAGTATATTTTTATTTTCAGACACCTTAAGAGACTCTTTACGCAAAGGTTTTTCTAGGATTTTTGAAGGGACGATTGGCTCCTAACACCCCCCCCCCCCCCCCCCCCCCACACACACACACACATAGCACACAGCCGATATGATATATGAGCCTGGTAGAAGTTTACGAACGTGTTGAGATTATATAATTTAACAAGAGCTATCAAGAAAAGCCTTTCAGTTCAAATTTTTGTGTAAATAAATAATTGTGTGTGTCCTAAATGTCTCTTTGCTTTAATTCCATTGAGCACTGCATTTCCAGCAAATCCATCTAGAAAGTATTCAATTACCCCCCAAAATTGGAAATTTCATTACACTGTTCTTTGGCTCGCACAAAAAGTGTCTTCTATTCTTGACCTGGACTGGTATTGATATTCTTCCTTTAGACAAAAAAAACCCAACACATCTTGTTCTCTGAATTAACCGTGTTCTTTAAGACCGAGGAATTGGTTCAATTGAATTAACTTGGCATCTAAATGACTGAGATATGCGTGATGCATTAACATTTTTTTCATATCGTATTTGAAAATGACTTTGAAAAACGATACGATGTCCTAATTGTCCAAAGTAAGTAATATGAAATAAAACACACAATATTTCTTTTTTTTGGGGGGGGGATACAATTTGAAAATTCCTCCAACCAAAATCGGAGAGGGCTAGTATTACAGCTAGGTGACTATATTAAATTATGACTGAAAAATCATAATCATAGAATTTTAAAGCAATTTTTAGGCCCCGTACAACCACTTTTGACCTTGACCTTTGGAGTTTGAAGTGCATATGATTCAACCTTCATTATAAGCTACCATACGGGGGCATCGGTGTTACACAAACGCATCTTGTTTTGAACTTTAACGACTTTTACTCAGAGTCAAAAATTAGAGTACAGTATTATTATTGTTTAAAAATAGAGAAATAAGTTAAAAAGAGACATTCATGGTATACAATAATTTCGGCACAATGAAGTAAATGGTCATTTTTCTAGGGGGGTATAAATAGCATTAAATACTTATTCTAAGTTAACCATACAAAAAAATTCGTACCGATTCTTTATTTAATGGTTAGTCAAATAAAAGGGTAAAATACAAAACAATCATCCTCAATTATTATCAATATTGTTGATATTTTAACCATCACCAATAATGTCGATGTAACCCGTGACGTTTATTGGCTTAGTTAGTTGTTGCTTAATGCAATTACTCTACAAAAAAGTCCTCGATAGCGGCGAAAAGTGATGCTTGTAAGGGATGATTCTGAACAGTTTAAACAAAGACATTTGGCAGCGAATTGGAAGAATATCAATAATTGAAACCCATGTTAATGGATTTAAACCGAAGTTTACGAAAAAAAATATACCAGAGAGGGAATTGCTTTGAGGTGTGAAGCGAAGACTTTCCTTTTCATGCCAACGCAATCGTTCCAAATTGAGGATCTTAATTGCTTCTTCCTCTAGATGTTCACGATTCCTGGAATTTAAGAATGGCCGGAACCCTCCAGATGCAATGTGAAGCCTCTGACAGCCATAACGAGTCGTTCCAAAGACTAGTAGCAATAGTAAGTGGTTTCTTTATTTCAATTTCTGCGTTAGATTGTTAATCCAATATTTGGACTTTATATAATGGTATTAATCGCGAAAAATGTCCAAATATTCTTGTAAATTTGCTGACTCCAGTAAAACTTTGGAAGTGGTGGGAATTGTTCCCTGGCAGTTTTATCACAAGGCTTAGATAAACAGGAGATGGATCTCTACCGCAATTAAATCAGGATATTCAGAAATACTCACTAAAAAGTCAATTAATTAGCTTCTTAAGGGAAGTGTAATTAAACATAAATGAAATTTACACTTCAATGACCCCATTTTGCTAACAAGTGATTAATTAGGAAATTCCCTTACACGAGATACACAGCTATATATATATGGCATAGATATATTGGTGATTACTATCAACAAAGGTCACTGGATCATCCTTAACAAATAAGTAGGACAAGTTACTTAATTTCTCACCAGTAAAATTCAAATGACGTCATAAATTATATATATTTAAACAAAGTATAGCTAAAATGTTAAAATTACTATTTTTACTATTGATTTAAAATGCTAAGTTTGACTCTTTCTTTGCTCAATGGACTAAAACAGTATCAAACATAAAAACACATACACCTCCTTTAGATCCGCGGAGCTACTGTAAAGCTCATAACGTACCATTTCTTAGAATTAAGTCAAATATTGATTTTGGGGGAAATTCAAATATGCATTGTATTTGTAAATGTTGTTTTGAATGTGCACAGTATTTCATTTATAATTATTTTAAAAGGTAGGGATACTAGAAAATTAAACAATGTAGCATTTATTAACAACATTTCGCGGCACAGTTCAAATTTCATTTGACGTCTTTGAATTATTAAAGATATTTTTTGAATTATTTTTATTCAAATTTCAAGGAAAAAGGATGAAAAATATTCTATTTTGTTTGTAGTAAGTCATCTGGTATTAATTATATTATATTTTATCATGTTTACAATTTAAAATCAATCCTCCAACCAAATCCATTTTCAGGAGTGGATCATGCTGTTGATTTTATCTGAAAAGAGATAAATGGCCAATTAAAATTAAACTCCGTAGTGCATGTACATATTTCAGTGTATATAAAACAGATACCGCCTATTCTGAAGAAACACTTGTCTAAGTGTCCACACATCAAACTTTAGAATCACAGAGCGATTTTCTTTCATTCAGATATGTTATTTAAGAAAACTATTATCTTTGGTCTCATTTGATTTATGTATTAGGCAATGAAGTGTCATTGTTGCATTAAATGTCATGAAATATTTTGACATTTGTATGAGACACGTGTATGTATACAATTACTGTTATTATATGGGGTGATTTATTGTCAATTTCTATGTAAGGAATGAACACCCTATTGCAATTATTGATAGCTCTGTTTTCTTTTTACTGCAATGTCTATTTTCGAATATGTGGTTGGGGGGGATTAGTTTGGTTTCACTAGAGACGCTGTCTTGAAGAAAATATATACTGCTGCTGACTTAGCTAGAAACACTGTAATGAACAAATACTATTCACTCCCCATAACTTTACCAAACGAAATGCTATTCAATGCTGCTGACTTTACTAGAAGCACCGTATAGGACACATGGTATCCAATGTCTCTAAGAAGTGGATTGGGTCACTGTCACTATCTGACTAAACCAAAAAGCACTGTTTTGGACAAATGTCTCTCAATGCCGCTAAATTACCAGAAACACTGTCTTGAACGGGTGACGCTCACTGCAGCTTTAGCAGAAACAATCTCTACGGAATTTTTTTTCTGTCAGACCTTACCAAGAAAACTTTTTGACAAATGTTAATCTATACTGCTGTCCCTACTAGAGGCCTCTCTTGGAAAAATACCACTCAGTTTTGCTGATTTTACCAGAAGCACTGCTTTGAACAAGTGTGGTTGAATGCTGCTAACTTTACCAGAAGTACCGTCTTGAACAAATGTCACTGCTTACTGCTATCTGTCTTGCACAAGTGTCGCTCAATGCTGCTGGCTTTACCTGAAGCTTTGTGTTGGACAAAAACACTATAGGACTCTCTTGAACAAATCTCCCTCGGTGCTCTTGGCTTTACCAGAAGCCCTGTGTTGGACAATCGCTACTCAGTGCTGTCGAGTTTACCAAAAGCACTGTTTTAAACAATTGTCACTCAATGTTGTTTCCTTTACCAGAAGCTCTGTGTTGGACTAAAAAGCTCTGTGTTGAACAAATGTCCCTCGGTGCATTTGGCTTTACTAGAAGCTCTGTGTTGAACAATCGCCGCACAGCGCTGCCGAGTTTACCATGAGAACTGTCTTGAACAATTGTCGCTCAATGCTGTTTGTTTTACCAGAAGCTCTGTGTTGGACTAAAAAGCTCTGTGTTGAACAAATGTCCCTCGGTGCTCTTGGATTTACCAGAAGCTCTGTGTTGAACAATCACCGCACAGCACTGTCGAGTTTACCATAAGCACTGTCTTGAACAATTGTCGCTCAATGCTGTTTGTTTTACCATAAGCTCTGTGTTGGACTAAAAAGCTCTGTCTTGAACAAATATCACTCGTTAAATTGCTCTTGACTTTACCATAAGCCACAGGCTCTGTGTTGGACAATCGCTGCACATTGCTGCTTAGTTTACCAGAAACACTGTATTGAACATTGTCGTTCAGTGCAGTTTGCTTCACCAGAAGCTCTGTGTCGGACAAATACTGCTCAGATCTGCCAAGTTTACCAGAAGTACTATCATAAAAAAGAGTTGCTCGAGCATGGAGATGCTTTTTTAAAAGAAGCATTCCGTTGGAGAAGTGTTGCTGATCTTTTTAAAGTAAACCTGTTTCAGACAAAATATGGCCCGATGCTGCTGACTTTATCAAAGCTTTTCTAGAAAAATTTACCGACTTTTACATTAGTTTATGAGAAACATAACCCATACTTCCCATTTATTTTTGTGGAAACTTTGAGTGATTTTTCATGCCTTTTTACAAATATAGGGATAGACTAGACGCTTTCATCATCTGATTGCTTTATCTGCGTGAGACAGGTTGCATTCATCTTATATTATTTTGAATATTTTATCAAAATTATATATAATTATATATTTTATCTTCTGCTTGTTGTGTCTTTATGTGAAGCCAGGGATTTAAGATTTTACAAAGCTATTTGAAAAATTTTAAATTATCCAGGAACAGGCGGCTTGCGCTTTCCAATGATGATTTTTAGCACTCGAATTTGTGTACAAGACGTATATTGAAACAATATATATTGTATACCGTGTTGCTGACTACTTCTGTCAAAATGTTTAACAATTAAATTATCAGTTGGCCACTATTATAGAAACATTTCTTGTTTGACGTTCTTTAGAAAAAATTTTAATTGAAAGTTATACATAATAAATCGTCATGAATTAAATTAATGCTCCACCCTTCTGTGATGTCATAGGTTTTTACAAAATTGTTTTTAATCTTAATTCATATCCATAAGAAAATATCTTTTTGTATGAATACTTTTCAATTGGTGTCATTCAAATAAATTGTACATAAAAGAATTATACAAATGTATATTTTCTTTATTCAATCGATCATTCAATCTTCAAAAATATTGCCAAGGGCAATAACTCCTTCTCATGTGTCTTCATTTTTTGGGCATTTATTATGTAAAATGTTTTCCCTGCAGATACCGGGGTATTCACAATTCTAAATATTTCATAAAGTAAACAAGATGTGTTTGTGAAACACTATGCGCCCGGCGGCAACAAATCTTTTAAAAAAGCTATTTTTAGCATATATGTCACAGTCAATGTCATTGACCTTGGTATCATTTGAAAGAAATTGATTAGTAAAGTATGGATACCAAGTATGAAGTCTCTATCTCTTGTAGTTCAAAAGTTATGGCAAAGGTACGAAAAAACTATTTTTAGCATAAAGGTCACAGTAAAAGTCACAAAGTCATTGACTTTGGTGTCATTTGAAAGAAATTAATTAGTGGAGTATGCATACTAAATATGCAGTCTCTATCTTCTATGGTTCGAAAGTTATGGCAAAGGTACGAAAAAACTATTTTTAGCATAAAGGTCACAAGGTCATTGACCTTGGTGTCATTTGAAAGAAATTAATTAGTGGAGTACGCATACTAAATACACAGTCTCTATCTTCTATGGTTCGAAAGTTATGGCAAAGGTACGAAAAAACTATTTTTAGGATATAGGTCACAGTAAAGGTCACAAGGTCATTGACTTTGATGTCATTTGAAAGGGTTTAATAAGTGGAGTATGCAAACCAAATATAAAGTCTCTATCTTTCATGCTTCAAAAGTTATGGCGAAGGTTAAAGTTTGCAGATAAAAAGCTATATTTATACAGGATAGTACCATTTGTTTATATATATACATATATTTGTGTGTAAATTATTATTTTTGTATGCATGGATATGTGTAACAATAAGTGTATGTTTATAATATATACTATACATACATATATTTGTATATAAATTATTATTTTTGTATGCATGGATTTGTGTAACAGTAAGTGTGTGTTTGTGTATGTGGGTATGCATATGTCAAATATCTATTGAACTAACTCCAAGAGATTAGTTTGCATTAAGTTTCTAATTATATGCTAAGTACTTATTAATTGAAATTACTATTGCTGTTAATACTTAAATGATTTTTTTTTTTGAATGACCATCTTCAATACTTAGGGTACAGGTTTGCCAGACTGGCTGTGTAGAGGTATCATCCCCTGGTGCCCTTTGTATTCAAGATGCACTAGTTTTATATTAGAGTACTGCCATTACTACAAGATTTTTTTTTTTTCTTTTTTTTTTTAATTTACCTTATATCTATCATTTTTATTTAATTGTGTTTTCTTTTATCATTCTATGGATTCTATGCTTTTGATCCAGTGTGGTGATGCACTTCTCATTGTCAAACTTAATCACAAGTCATGTTACATTATCCTTAATATAGAATTGTAATCAATGTTATCATTTTGTAATAATTGTTCATGCCCCCTGTGGGCCCTTGATTGGTGAATAAACATAATAATATATAATATATAGGTCACAGTCAAGGTCAGAAGGCCATTAACCTTGCTGTCATTTGAAAGACCTTAATTAGTGGAGTATACCAAATATGAAGTTTCTATCTTAATTCTTTCAAAAGTTATGGCGAAGGTTAAAGTTTGCAGACAAACAGACAAACAAACAAACAAACAGACAAGCAGACAGACAGGACAAAAACAATATACGCCCCGGATCTATCGATCCGGACGCATAAAAATACTTTGGAAATTTCAGCATCAGAATAATATATTTTAACCAAAGTTTACATGATAATACTAGTAATGTTAACAACCTAAAAATGAACGATTTTTAATGCTGACAGACACTTCCGTTTAGATTTGTCTTACTTCTTTAAAAAATATTGCAACCTATACATCTTTTTAGATTATAACTTAATCTTCACTATTTTTAGTGAAAATGCAGTTTTTCTACTTTGAACCCATAACATTGTGTGGATGGAAATACGTTAATATGAATTAAACACTTTTCGACAGAATTACAAGGTATTAGAGTGATTTAAATGGCAGCTTTTATGTTAAATCGCTATTTGACTGTCATATACTGGGTATAAATATTTTAAAAGTCAAACAGGCAGACAGCAGAAAATTTACATATTGAATTTCGCCATCTGTTATATAGCCATCCGGAACTGAACAGTCGGCACACGACGATTCTTCGCTTCAGTTAATATCTTTGTAAATAAACTCAAAGAAATTAATAAACTGTGGAAAAATGAGAAAATATGACCTAAAATATTTCTTTTTAACTTATTCTTGTTGTTATTGAAGAAACTGTCCCAAGGGGATTGTTTTAATGAAGTAAATTGTTTAGTAATTGATTTTATTTTCATATTTTTATTACTAGACCTTAAATTCTTCTTTTTTTCAAAAGAAATATATAATTATTTTTGAATAATTGATATTTCATCGGGATGCCTGATTATGGATACCTTCCCTTGTTATTGAGCTAAAATGAATGATAAAATATTTATAGGATTTTACCCAATATGGTCGCGGCCACTATAATGACTCTACATGTCATCAATTTTTCAGAACTACATTTTACCCAATTTCTGTGCGACAAGAATTATTCAGATCTCTAGAACATTATGAAAATGAAAATATTGGGAGTAAAACCTTAGGAAATGAAAGGCTCATGTAAGTCAGTTTAAACATTTTTCTTCAAGCTTTTTCCTGCTTGCGTATAATGCATTTTTTTAAAAACATAATGTTTTATTTCAAAATGTAAAATAAAATAATCACCTTGTTATCTATAAATAAATTTTTTAAAAAGACAACCACACGTTCTTCATAAGTATGTTAATTTAGTTTATGATTTTGTATTACAAACAATACGATATATTTATGTAGAGGAAAAGGTTATGTGATATTATAACGCCTTTCGCATTTTTAATTTTTCTCATTTAATCATTCATCAATTTCACAAGGGACTTTTTGAGGCCCCTTTTACCGCCGAGTGGCCTCCTTTTTATAATTGGATAAGTGTTTATACCTCCAGTCCAACCTCTGAAAGTAGCTGCAGGCGCGGATCCACGAATTTTTTCCAGGGTGAGGGGGGGGGGGTCCACCCTAGTGAAAAAAAATTCACCCCAGAAATTTGTTGACTAGCAAAAAAAAAGTTACCTCCTCGCCAAAACATGAAAATCCTATTTCGGGGAGGGGGGGGGGTAGTTCTTCATACCTATGACTTTCATACCAACTTAATTAACTATATAAATTTAATAACTCTCCAAATTCCAGGGGAGGGGTCCAGACCCCCCCCTTCTAGACCCGCGCATGAGCTTTTTGATTACTCCAAGGAATCCTCTTTTCTAAGGATATTCACCTCTACTTTTTCTAACCCCCTCCATCTCTCTTATTCAAAACTCAATATCAACTTAAAAATTTCTTAGGTGAATATTCATTAATTTGTCAGATAATGAAGTTGATCAAATCATCTACGTATAAGCATTAGCAGTCAGCACTTGGGAGGACTTCTAACTCTCTACCTCCGCTTTTTCCTTTCCTCTCTTTCCTTCTTTCTTTTCTCAATTTTTATACCGCATTGCATCCAGAAAATGATTCATTTAGTGACTGAAGTACTTAAGTTTATGAGTGTTCTTCATTTAAATGCATCATCCAGTGTAGTCTAATTTAAAATACGGCTTGCGGTAACACTGGAATTAGTATGCTCTAAGAACTTTAACCTGGTCACATATCCGGAAATTTTACTCAGATCCAGGATCTGAAGCAGCACTGACTGGTAGTGGTAACTATTTGATGCATCATCCCCATGCGCTGATCTAGACGGGGGCCCCCTGGAATTGGTAGAGTTATTAAATGTATAAAAGTGAACCCCCACCCCAACGAAGTAGGTTTTTAAAGTTTGAGAAATGAGATTACGTTTTTTTTTCTTGTCAAGAAATTTCTAGATTGGAATTTTTTTTGACTTTCAAAGTGGATATTTCCCCCCGCCCCTTAAAAAAAATTCTGGATCCGTGCCTCATCCCTTTAAGCTTGATTCAGATAGGTGCTTAAGTTTATTGGTATTTGGCATTCACCATAGTGGTCAATCATCTGGAAAACCAGCATCTAGGGGAAAATCTTGTAGTTTGATGCAACCTTGCAAGATTGGTTCAGGGAGGGCTTTTAGTTCCTTGGTACTGGACCTGTCCCATAAAACTGTATATAAGTCACTTATTAGTAAAATATGAGTAAAATCCCATTTCCAAAGCAACGAGAAAAGTTAACTGCATCAATAATTGTATCATCCTTTCAAGTTTGGTCAACATCGGGTTTGTAGTAACATGTCTATTTTAAAATGGACCTGCTCAAAAAATAACTAAACTGGTCACTTGTACGAAGCAAGCTAATAGCTTGCATACTTAGATGTATCATCCATACAATCAAGTGATCGTTGGTATCCAAAGGAAGGTCTTGTTATAAGGAATAGACCTGTGAAATATGAAAGCCCTAGTGCTAACCATTCAAAAGTTATGGCCAAGTTTACAGTTTTCTTAAAAGTAGGTCAAACTCTAAGGTCAAAGTTAAAAGGTAAAAAAGTATTTACACCCATTGAAAGGTCTTGTCTCAATATAACCCTGTATCTTAGGAGAGCATAAAAACAACTCTCTACATTTACTTTACTTGGTTACCTTATCATATGGTTGGCTTTATACTAAAAAAGACAATCTCTACACTTACATTTCGATCTGTATCAATAATAATAAGCCGATTCCTACCTTTCCTTACAGATGAATGCCGAGTCCCCCTGCTCCTCCCACGAGACTGACCAAGGTAGTACCACATACCTAAGACCCCGTCTCCTCCGCAGGCGAAGGAAATCCCCATGTTTTCAGATGATGGTGCGCTACGTTGCCAAAGGCTTCTTGACAAAAGAGAGTGACAGGCAATATTATGCTGATAGATATACCTGCTGCCCCCCTCCTTGGTTCATACCTGTTATTACTTTAGCTGAAGTAAGTTTCTGTATGTAAATAAATCAAGGATATATTGTTGAACATCACACATTTTATAGCACTAAATGAAGTAAAAAAAATCAAAAGGTCGAACATTTTCCATAATATATCAAATACTGTGGAATCACTTATTTTCCTGGGGGTTAATTTTCGTTGTTTTCGAGGTATGAATAGACCAACGAATTCATGTCCACCACGAAATATAAAATTTCATATTAAAACTACTCAATACATAGCCAACCACGAAATCAAATCCCCATAAACCAATATTTTTCCTAAAACCTCGAAAATTTGACCCACAAAATATGTGATTATACAATACATTATGTAAATTTAGAGTACATGTATACTGAAAGCTTTCATTGTGCATTTAAACAATGCTATGGATGGACTAAATACAAAATGATCAAAATAGCAAAAATATGCATAAAGTTTCACAAAATATATATCATTATTTCTTTAAAACTGTTTTAGTCTTTCATCTTTAAAAAAAAAACTTTCACATGAGCACATTTTTATATGCCTGTGCGATATTCTAATTCCTTACCCTCAAATTATTATTTGAATAAATACAAGACATTTCTTCATTATCCGCAACTTTAAAGGATAGGCTATTTTTTGGGGGGACAAAAAAATGTTTCGTGCATATTTCGACTTGAGTACCTACTTATCTATTGATAAAAAAAAATTAAAAATATTTTCAAATATTTGAAAAAAAAAACATGAATTAAAAAAGATTTAAATGTGACTAAATTATCGGTTGTATATCGTCGTAATTATATTTTGTCCAATCATGAAGATCTATATAAGAGTAATTACATGGGACATAATAACAGGACTCATTTTTTTCAAAAACATATTATCGTTTAGAGCAAAGGATCAGTTTGTTTTGCAAATATAGATACCATGGAGTGTTCTTTACGGAATTCACCCGAGTGTTTGATTTTGTTTCAAGTATACTGTACTCGTATAGTCGAATTTATTTGTTACATTAAAACAGATCGGCCTCTTCACGTATCATTGTTTGGACGCCGGGGTCATTTCTGCAAACGGACCAATACCAGTAGAGAGTGTTCTTATCTACAGACCAGACAGAAGGATTCAGTTATGGCGGTTCATCACGTACACCCTCATCCATGCAGGGTAAGAGCTATAACTCTAGCGGGCCAACATCGAAAAAAGGTTTTAATTATTGATAAAAGATGTGTGTGGATTTTTTTGTTTCATTTCTCAATATCTGAGGTTTTTTTTCAAATCTGTCATCTGTTCTATTGTTCATTTTCTTTTCTATCAGTTTTGTAGATTTCATAAACAGTGAAGGTACTCTTCATAAAATGATTAAATTATAAATTGATTTGAAGGTAAAAAGCCTGAAAAATGCAAGGGCTACTGGGACAAGATTCTGTCAACACGTTTTGCAAAGGGAATTTAATATTTCTTGAATTTTTTTTAACCCTTAGCAGAAAGTTCAACCTTATCACTTGAAAAACAGCTTTAATTAATCTTAAAAATTTGCGCCCGTCTAGCAGCTTCTGTTTATTCACGATTCTTTCTTAAGAAATTTGAATTTCCAGACTATATCGTGAAAATTTTTGTGTCAAATCCAGCTGAATAGTTAGGGAGAAGGTGTAGATAGTGAATTTGATTTTTTTTTTTATCTATCTGTTCAAATTTATTCTGAATTATTTCTAAGTTATTGTAAAGCTATTCAATTCTCATTTAATGAACCACCATCAAAATTATTTGATTTAAAATATGTACTCCTTGTTACTAAGATTCTTTGTAATTTGTAAAATGCTAAATTGATACAAGGAGTCTTCAAGGTATAAGTATTAAGTTAATGTATTTTAGATGCAATATTTAATAATGTCATTGTCATACACTTGTAGTGTTTGATGTAATTTGATTTAAGAATAATTGGGAAGAAATAAAACAAAATAAATTCAGTGATATTGATTGATTCTATGGAATCTGCAATTTACTCTTGTTTGACAAAATAGAGTTTTACATCTTCCCTGACACATAAGTGCACCACTGAGAAATTATTCAGCGTCAAATAAAACATTTTGAAATAATATTTTAGATAAAAATAGAGAATAAACAGAAGACAAATACATAAGATAATTATTATTTTCATTTTGAATTAGATCCTTTTTCTTTTTATTTCAGATGGGTCCACTTATTTTTCAACATGCTCGTACAGATTCTCGTGGGTCTCCCCCTGGAAATGGTGCATGGGTCAGGAAGAGTAATGATAGTGTACATTTCAGGAGTCTTAGCAGGTATCATCAGTAATTGATCACTTCCTTCTTTTTTTTTTTACACCCCCCCTTTTTTTCAAAAATTTTGTTCAATGATTTTCGACCACATAATAAAACGTGGAAAAAAAATGAGATCAGTTTTGCAAGTTCTTCTAAAATTTGGCTTGATTTGTAGTTTTAGGAGACAGTTAATAAATATCACTGCAGATTTTTGTTAGGAATGTTGTAAGGATGTCGATAGCAAATTAGCAACAATGTTATAAAAAATCAATGTTTGCGTGTACAACCATAATTTGACAAATTCACAATCAAAATGATGATATTTTATGGGAAAATTTGAACGTCTTCTGCAAGATAAACTAATACTAGCTTCCACTCCCTGGCATTCAAATTGTCGAACAGTGAATCAAGTAAAACTTAATGCATGAAGGAACACAATTCCAAAGATTTTCTTAAATGCATTGTAGATTAATGTAATTGATAACTCTGTATTGGCCTCACTTCCGTTGTCTGCATTATGTTTCAGGGTCCCTCGGTACCTCTGTGTTTGATACGAAGGCGTACCTCGCAGGGGCCTCAGGGGGAGTCTACTCTTTACTCGCAGCTCATCTGGCTAACATCATGCTGGTCTGTAACAACTTATTATGATATTCACTCTTTGCCAAGTATCCTCTACTGATGTGTAGTTTGGTCTGTGAATGAACTCATTAACAAGAAAATCTCATAGTTGTTTCATTTTCATCACGTTAGGAAAATTGCATCGACATGCCATGTTCTTGTTTTTCACAAAAATAATAACATACAAAATATGATTTGTTTTTGTTATAAAAATATCCTTGATAAAAAGTGTTGTAATTAGACTGTTAATATTTTACGACTTCATTATTTTTTTTATATATTGTAGAATTACTCTGAAATGGAATTCGGGCTCGTTAAAGTTGGTGCTGTTTTAATTATAGGTAAAGACTTTTTTCTTTTCTGAACTGTTTCCTGGTATTTTTCTAAAAGTTGTCAGTCACTTTAAAATAAATTCACTACAGATATGATTTTTTCTGTAGAAAAATAAAAATAGAACTACGAGCCCCCCCACCTCTTTCCAATCCCAATATTTAGGCTTCATCAAGAACAAAAAATCTATAATTTGTAAATCGATATACTCTAGATAAAAAGCGTAAGACTTTTATCTTAAAATGTAAAGAGATATCATTGGAATGATTATCAGCGAAACAACAACAACAACCAAAAAAACAAAACAAAACGAAACAAGTGAATTGTTTTTCTACAAGACTCAAAACTTTATTACGATGTCAGCTTGTAGCTTGAAATTGAATGGTTTATTTTACCCATTTCTAGGATTATATATCCAATAACAAATTGGAAGTTTTTTTATCAACTAGATAAATAACTATAGAAATAACCATAGAAATAAATTCATAGTCTCGTAACTAAATCATAGGATTTTTGAATTTTCACCAACTTTCCTCGACTCCCCCAAACTTTTGACTACAGTATACGCCTAATAGAACGCAAAACAAGAAAAAATATTCAGATAACTCACTCTTTACAAATCAAATAAATTTACTGCAAGAGAAAAACTTTAATGAAACGTACTTTATGAGTAAACGACAATTATATTACCTGTTGTAGCTAGTGCTGACGTGGGATTTGCAGTATGGGACAGACTACTGGAGAAAGACTTACTCCCCCAGGTCAGTTACACTGCCCACTTAATGGGGTCCCTGGCAGGACTGACCGTGGGGCTGCTGGTGCTGAAGAACTTTGATCAGAGACTATACGAACAATACTTGTGGTGGATTGCGTTCGCTGTTTACATGGGTTGGACAGTCTTCGCTGTTTGCTGGAATGTCTTTTATTACTAATTCTAAATGACGTTTCGCTTAGTTTTCAGACAATTCTTATTTATTGTTGAATCTTTTTTATATTTGTTTTCATTTGTTTTTGTTAATACTGTAAAATAAATTGAATTAAAATAATTGGTGATTGTGTTAGTCTTCTATGAATACGAAAAAAAAAATTCAGTTCACAAGAGAAACTTCTTAATTTCTTGTCAATACATACCAATTGCATGTAATAATTAAAATTCATATTGTCATACTGGTATATCCAAAAAACAGCTCCCCTCATTTCTGTGAATTCTTTTAATTAGCCTACATATATGTTATACAACTTTTATATGTTGAAGCTTCTAGGCAGTTAATCTTATTATGCTGAAATATATATGAGAACTAAAAAATCAATTGAATATAGAATTTTTGCTGGGAATAACAAAAAGGTATTTCTCAGATTCATTATAAGTTTAAAAGAGACCATGCATATGTATAATTTATTTGTAATTCAAAACGTTTCATGTTTCTTTTACCTTTCTTTGCCTTTTGCAATACTAAGAAAAATACAAACACTCGTGCTATATCTTTTAATAATGTGTTTATTATACAATTTCTGAGAGAAAAAAATCTTTACATTATCAGTTTGCAATTTAGTACACGAAGTCTTTAATTTGATTTTTTAAGCACCATTTTCCTTGACAGAAAACTTGTGCCATCTATTATGTTTAAAATAACATATACGAATACCTTAATATTTTTGCAAAATACAGAAGCGAATTTTATGGTCAATCTGATATCTGATGTAGGTGCATAGGAACAGGTACTGTATTTTCTTTCTCTAACGTCATTGAAAAAATAAGATTCTTTTAATACGAGTCTGTTCCATTCTAAAGGTAGATGACATCATCTTTGTCTACATCATCTTGTTCCGTTACAAGATCATTTTCCTCTGGAACATGGAGAACGCATATCTTTAAATCACTCTTGATTTGTGCTTCGGGAAATGTCTTTGACAAAGATTTGTTTCCTTTGCTCGGCATCAGATGGGATGGAAGCTGAGATTTAACAGCAAAGCGTTCTATTTCTGGTTCATCCCTTCCAAACATTATTGCATGGTGAAGATGTTTAAAGTTAGGGTTCCTAACCAATGGATTGGCGGCATACAGCAGTATTGCTGGTTTGGCTGTTTCTAACTCTGAAGAAGGTCTCTTCAAAATCTTCATTTTCCTCTCAATGTGAAACACACGTCTTAAGAAGTCTTGAAGTTGTCTAAGTTGATGTGAGAACCCTTTCTTAGGTCTGGGGTCCATGGCGATAAATGTCTCGCCGGTATCTCTGTTCTGAAAGAAGTCCTCCTGCTCTTTTGCTTGCTCGGGCTCACGGTAAGTTCTGCAAGTAAACAACCGCTTTATGGCAGATCTATAATTTGTTCTCTTCTCCATATCTCACGCGGCTGGTTAAAATATTATACAAAAAGTCTTAGCCTAGAAACGAAACGTCTTTTGGCTTCTTGAAGATCTATTGCAGGTTTATTGTGACGTCACAATTGAATATCGAATGACGTCACAATGGACTTAACAGACATAAACTATAAAACCAGGCCTGGGCGCCATAAATGTTAGACGAGCTCACTTTTGATCTCAGTCTCACCTTTTCCAAAGGAAAATATAGTGGAAAAATGAGACTGAGATCAAAAGTGAGCTCATCTAACTTTTATGGCCCCCAGAACAGGAGCCCGTTTTACAAAAGAACTTTCACTTAAGACCAATTTTCATTTTGCTTTTATTTTACATTTATTTGAAAATTGAAATTGTCTAAATATTTTTTTTCATACAAAATAGAATAAGATATTTATGTTATGGTACTAATTTTAAGAAGAATGATTGATTGTACAAAATTTCACAATCAACCTAAGTTTTTCGTCCTAGTCGTAAACTCTTTTGTAAACCACCCCCCCCCCCCCCCATTTCTCAAAACGTATTGTGTGTTTCATTAAAAATTTATGAAAGACCATGCGTAGAATTCATTTGAAATAAGTAGAAACGTTTCATGTTTTTTTTTACCTTTTGCAATACTACAAACACAAAGACGATATCTTTCAATAATGTGTTTATTACATAATTTCTGAAAATTTTCTCACATTATCGGGTAACAGATTAGTACACTTGTAATGATTAATGACTCTTAAAATACATGGTTTTCATTTGAAAGAAAATTGTGGTATATTATGTTTAAAATCATCTACATGACTGCACTTGAATGTTAGCAAAATACATAACCTTTTTTAGTCAATCTTATATCTGACTAAATGAACACAATTATTTTCTTTTTTCACTGTCTTAGATATGAAAATTTGATCATGATTCTGTTCTATTCTGAAGGTAGATGACATCCTCTTTGTCTACATCATCTTGTTCCGTTACAAGATCAATTTCCTCTGGAACATGGAGAACGCATATCTTTAAATCACTCTTGATTTGTGCTTCGGGAAAGGTCTTTGACAAAGATTTGTTTCCTCTGCTCGGCATCACATGGGATGGAAGCTGAGATTTAACAGCAAAGCGTTCTATTTCTGCTTCGTCCCTTCCAAACATTATTGCATGGTGAAGATGTTTAAAGTTAGGGTTCCTAACCAATGGATTGGCGGCATACAGCAGTATTGCTGGTTTGGCTGTTTCTAACTCTGAAGAAGGTCTCTTCAAAATCTTCATTTTCCTCTCAATGTGAAACACACGTCTTAAGAAGTCTTGAAGTTGTCTAAGTTGATGTGAGAACCCTTTCTTAGGTCTGGGGTCCATGGCGATAAATGTCTCGCCGGTATCTCTGTTCTGAAAGAAGTCCTCCTGCTCTTTTGCTTGCTCGGGCTCACGGTAAGTTCTGCAAGTAAACAACCGCTTTATGGCGGATCTATAATTTGTTCTCTTCTCCATATCTCACGCGGCTGGTTAAAATAATATAGAAAAAGTCTTAGCCTGGAAACGAAACGTCTTTCGGCTTCTTGAAGATCTCTTGCAGGTTTATTGTGACGTCATAATTGAATATCGAATGGAATGACGTCACAATTGAATATCGAATGACGTCACAAAGGACTCAACAGTCATGAACTATAAGGGGGGGACCTATGTCGTTCGACGTCAAAGCAGCGTTATGTGACGTCACAATAGCGACGTTTGTTTTTTTTCCCGCTGACTTTTGCAACTGTGATTACAAGCATAACATTGTTATTAATCAAAAACGTAAACAGTTTACAAAAAGAAAAAAATTTCATCATTTAAAACAGTTTTATTTGATTTATGGAGTTTGTTAATATCAGAATTCCTTTGGTTGATAATTCATAGCAATTTCAGTTGTGAAGAAATACCTCTATGATATGCTGATATAAAAATGCAAAAAATATAAGATGAAATTCAGCAAAGACAGCTGCTAAAATTCGGGAAATATGTTTAATTTTATTATTACCATTAATTGTATTTTCTGGATAAAAATAAGAAAAAAAAAATAAGAAATGTACTTGTACCTATATTTACTTATTGATTTATAGTGTATGTAGATTTTATTGTATAAAGTCATTCCTAGGTTCTATTAGGTGTTGTTTGTTGACGTGGAAGGGGGGGGGGGGGGCAGAATGATTAGAATGAAGAAAAAAAGAGTATATCTGTTTAAATTATTTCTTATCAAAACAAAATACTCGTTTTTTGCAAAATAGTTTTATATTCATATGTTTGTCAGTGCTAGCTTACCCTTTTTTAGTGCAGAAAGGTCAATATTTATGACAGAAGAGTACGAAAATAAAAGAAAACGTCATATTTCTCGTTTATTTTATCATAAAGGTACACTTCTTACCTTGTTAAAATAAAGAGAGGGGTCTTTTCTTTCAAAACATATGAATTACAACATTTTCACACAAAGACTTTTTAAGATATTACCTGTTATGCATGTCGGAATTGTAAAAAATACGACAACGGGGTGATACACATTGTGCTCCTTTATAATTTTTCATGCGAGATGAATTACAATGAATTTGCCTTCATTTTAAAGATACAAGTCATATAAATTAAATAAATGTTGATTTCGAATGTGATTTGACATTTTTGGGTCTTTTTATCGCATATTTGGATTAGAACAACAATAATGTCTGAAAATAATCTATTTTTAGCATTTCACACTGTTTTTGCACGTGATCCCGTGTAAAAATAAGCATATAAAGGTATTGTTTTTAATACCTAAAAATTAAGATCAAGTGGTCAGGAAAGAAATGTGAAAGTTTTAAAAATTTCACACAAAGACTTTTTGGACATAGGTCCCCCCATAAAACCAGGAGCCCGTTTATAAAAGAACTTTCACCTAAAACCAAAATTTCATTTTGCTTTTAACTTTTATTTTACATTAATTTAAAAATTGTTTAAATATTTTTTCATACAAAATTGAATAATTTATATTCCGGTACCAATTTTAAGAGGAATGATTGATTTTACAAAATTTCACAATCAACCTAAGTTTTTCGTCCTAGTCTTAAACTCTTTTGTAACCCCCCCCCCCCTCCTATTGCTCAATAAGTTTGTGTGTTTCATCGAAAATTTATGAAAGACCATGCGTAGAATTCATTTGGAATAATTAGAAACGTTTCATGTTTCTTTACCTTTTGCAATACTACAAATACGAAGACGATATCTTTCAATAATGTGTTTATTACTTATTTTCTGAAAATTTTCTCACATTATCGGGTAACAGATTAGAACACTTGTAATGATTAATGAGTCTTAAAATACAAGATTTTCATTGAAAGAAAATGTGGTATATTATGTTTAAAATCATTTGCATGACTGCACTTGAATGTTGTAGCAAAATACATAAACTATCCAGTTAATCTTGTATCTCACGTAATTGAACATAAATATTTTCTTTTTTCACTGTCTTAGATATGAAAATTTGATTATGAATCTGTTCATTTCTAAAGATAAATGACATCCTCTTTGTCCATATCATCTTGTTCCGTTACAAGACCATTTTCCTCTTGAACCTGGAGAACGCATTTCTTCAAATCACTCTTGATTTGTGCTTCGGGAAAGGTCTTTGACAAAGATTTGTTTCCTCTGCTCGGCATCACATGGGATGGAAGCTGTGATTTAACAGCAAAGCGTTCTATTTCTGG